AAGGCCATTTGTTTCCATTTTCTCGCCCTGCGGCTGCCATTGATATTTCCAAACGGAATCTAGAGCCAATCCCAGAGTGAAAAAGTCCCCTTGACAATCTTCCAACGTTTTTCACTTGGCATTTAAACAAAACGTCGCGCTATTTGCATCGCTTATAGATTTTTCACTTTCCTTTCTTCGGCTGACAAATTTCTGGGCTACGTGCCCAGACCCTCTGAACATCTCCAGCTCATTTTCAGCCACTATTACAGCATCAGCCGAAGAATTCTTCTTCTCGCCTGCTAGAATCAGCTCATCAATATGCTGGCCAGCTCCCAAAGATCTCTTTTGCCCATGAATGATCTATGTGGCCGAGTTCATTTGCAGCCCGAGTTACCAAACGAAAAACCCAAACGCCGCGCGACTGGAGCAGCATTTTAATGAGGCCTAAAGATCAACAATAAATTATAGGGAAATTCATTTAATGCGATGTGGCTTGGGGTTCGGGTTCGACTCGAACTTGCATTGAAGGTGGAAACCACCGACCTCCCAATGATCCCAAAATGATGAATTTATTGCTCTTTACTACAATGTATGGGCTTTCCTCTGTTAATGGTTTCGATTTGAGTGATTTGTTATACCATGTTTGATAAACAAACTGAGTTCGAGTTGTCGGAAATGGCTGTTTGCATTGCTTGTTTGTTTATTAATTATTGTAAATTGTAATTGGGTTTTTAAATTAAATATTTTAAATATTTCTTTGTATTAATGGGATAAACTTAAAAGTATTTTTTTGTTTATTTTATTTAAAGTTTGTTGCCTAAGTCTTTTGTTCTTGATACAACATTTATAATACTACTACTACCATAATGCTATATTACTTACAGAATTATGGATTTATATCCCATAATAACGATTCAAAGAACATTTTTCTGCTGTCGACGCGTTTTACAGAGTTATGCGAGCAGGTTTGTCGCCTAAGTCTTTCGTTTTTTTCACACACATCTCTCGCTTTTTTCGGTTGTTCGGTGTTTTTTTTTCTGTTTTTTTGGCTGGGAGAAATCCCGTTGGCGTTGCCAAATCTTTTCTCCACTTCTCCACAAAAGATGGTATGGGGTATCTGCGTCCTTTTCATTATTTGTAGGTGTCTATTGGGTCAGACAAAATGCATTGGCAATATCACAAAGTAATGAGATATGCTCCCCTGATATATGGCAGGCACTTTGGGCTGACAAAATGAGCAGCCGGGCTATAAATATGCCAACCGACAGCATCTGAGCATTGGGCATTGAGCATTGAGCATCTGGGGATCTCCTTCCCCTTCCCCGCTGCAAAGTGATTTTCTCGCACTTATTTTCAATTCTGTGCGCCGGCAACTTGATAAATTAACACTCTGCACATGCCATTTGTTTATTTGCCTAAATAAATCGCCGACGAACCTGAATTCAAGTCGGAATCTGTATTTGAATTTGAATTCGGGTCTAAAAAGCGCACCGCGCTCTCGGCAGCAATTGTATTTATATGCCGGAGAAGCTAGGAAAAAAGTAGAAAATATATAGCGAAAATCCGCCCCACTCCCTGCGGCACACAAAATCACTCGAACATTTGTGTGCTGTGCACACAGTCAATTTATGTGGCCCGATGCGAGGAATCCGCGACTTAGCGACTTGTATTCGGACTTAGACTTGGACTTGCACTTGGAATGGGAATGGGAGTTCGACTGCAACTTTGTTTATTGCCCCACTAAGGCGACTGACCCACAACATTAAATTGTAATTTGAGTGGGGCAAAGCGAACATTTTTACTGCAAATTTCGCCAGCCTCTCGACTCGGACTCAGTTCGGTTCGGCTTGTTCTTGCTTATGTAAGTCAGTGGAGTCAACAAGAAATCGAGTAATTAGAATTTCCATCTGTGACTCTTCACGCCCCAGTGTTGTGGCCCGCTTTTGTGCAATTCCCTGGCGAGGAGAACGGTACTGCCATTGGCACGCGACTCATTCTCATTCTCAACGTTTCGCTAATGACTCCGCGGCAATGTCATTGACCAGACTCTCCAGAACCACCGGACTCACCTCGCCACAACTGGCGATGGCAGCAGCATCAGCAGCAGCGGCAGCAGGCATGCAAATCGATTTGCAGGCGGACAGTTGCATAATCGTTAATTAGGAGAGTGCACTGGAAGAAAATAAAAAGCAGTAAAATTATCATATTTTACTCAAAACTTTGAAAATAATGGTCCAAATATGGAATGCCATACATCGTTGAGCTCGTAGTTAAATTCCCAATCTATCAGCATTGAAATCTGAACATATTTATTTTTGACAATTTTTCGCAAAAATTCATGATGTAACCCCTTGAAAAAAAAGTAAAAAATTGTCAAAATATTAAAATTTGGAAATCATCCAGAAAGTGATGATATTCGATATATTCGGTTATTATTTGTACAAAACACCTTGACTTTTAGACTTGGGATTATTTTCGGATAAGTTACAGCAAGAAAACTCTTCAGAAACAACCTATTTTTATCACTGGACCGGACTGTTATTTCTAGCAGTATTTTGTTCGAAACAATGGAAATAGTGGTAAAAATATGGAACATCATACTTTGCTGAGCTCATAATTAAATACCAAATCGAAAGAGCTAGCACTTAACAAATATCAAATAATATAAAAAAACATAAAAACCATATATTACCTCAGATGAACCATAAATAATATTGGATCATAAAATGAGCATCAAATGAAAAACAAATATGTATTCAGACATTAAAATTTACTAGCGATTTCTCGCTGTTCACAGAGTGCATTCTCAGCTCAGCTCAAAGTGAAAAATCAATGGTATATTCGAATTTGATTAGTGCGGAAATCAATCGCAGTCCGTGGAAAACTGCGCACATATCTGAGCTGTAAGCTGAACTTCGTGCTTTAACGCACATTACACGTAATGCATTTTCCATGCTGCCATTGCTGTTGTTGTTATTCCACTGTAGTAAGTGGTAGAAAAGAAAAGAACCGCAATGCAATGCCACTAACGATATCCAACCGGTGGCCACTTGATGCTCCCGAATCGATCTCTCGGCCCAATCTAGAGCGTTTCGGGTATTGCCTCCGCGTGCGTGATCCCAGAAACTAGTGTTATTTTTTAATTCTTATCAATTATGGCTTCTACATCGGTTGAGTTGCAAATGCCTGGCGGTAGCATTTCCGTCAGGCCATTGTCTCCCCGGCAATTCATAAAGATTATGAAGCCCAAAAATAAAGAAAAACTGGCTACCCACCCAGATTGTTGGTCCCCAAGGGCCGCAGCCACATGGCCATCTGTTGACATTGCCGCGGACATTGTCAAGCCGAGCACTTTATTTGCTGCGCGTTTGACATAAACATTTGCCCAGCGGACAACTGAATGGCCAAGGCCTCTGTTCGGCTCCTTATAAAGACGATACGACACATCGAAGGCAGCAATTTTTGAAATACGCATTGCAGAATTTATGTTATGCGTGCCTCTGCGACTCGAGACTCGCGAGACCCGTGAGTCCCGCGGTGACAAAAATATAGAAAAAGAAAAGAAAGACGCCAGCCTGGTCAAACGGATGCTGTGCCTCCACATCCACGGAAAGTGTTCAAAGACTTTCGCTATGCCGGGGAGCCAGGAGTACAGGGAGCACTCAAGTCTCGGGGACATTAGAAACGAAACGAACAAAAATCCATACATACCTGCCCGCAAATACGAAACAAAAAAAAAAGGAGTCTCGAGGAGTCGCCTCCTCTGGAGGCTTTGTCTAAATTTGGATGGCCATGTCAGTGACAGCATTTGACTTGGCAACTTTTCATGTTCATGTTTGTGTTCGCCAACTTGCGCCGAGTTCAAAGCATCAGATTCGAGATAATGTTAAACATTTCCTTTCAAATTGTTTTTTGCCCGCCGCCGCTGCTGCTTTTTGTTCTCCTCCTCGGCCATCGCCATCCAACAACTGCCATCTTGGGATGGGTTGATAGAAAATCAGTAATAATTATGACTAAAAATTATGGTGACTTCTCATCTAGGCGCAGATGAAGAATGGCGCTGAAGAAAGTCTCCATAACAATTGGTATTTAGCCATATTAAAAAGTAAGTGGCTGGTTGGTTGGTAAAAGGATTTTGATTATTAAGTTATTTTATAGCAAAACTTGTCTCTATTTGGGAAGCCATTTGGCTAGAAACATTTAAAGCTGCTGTTCTAATTTCCACACAAAGTTTCCGGACTTTCCAATGGAAATTCTATACACAAAAAGTGCGAGCGAGATAGCGCTTAAAGATACATGAGTAGGGCGCTATAAATTTAAAAATCAAACTAAAAATAAATTTGGTTTTTTTTAATGTGACTACTTCTCCTTCTTGAGCTCCTTAGCTTCCTACTGAAAATTTACGATCATCGTAAGAGCGTAATTGGGTGCATGTACTGCCATTAATTAACGGTTTAAGTATGTACTATAAAAGTAACCTAGTTTAGGGTGCCCAAACCAAATGCCCCCACACATTCCTAAGGTAAAAGCCCCGTTTACACCACCCACTAAAATTTCACTGCGAATGTGGGTGAAATCATGTTAATGAAGTTGTTTACCTGCAATTCATAGCCCTCGTTTCCGCGCCCAATTAGTTTGTCACTTTTACTGCAGGCAGCTCTCTGACTTTGAACCGTTTAGAGCCAAGTTCAGCGCCATTTAGCCAAGGTTCAGTTTCACTCGGGCCAATTTTCCACCTGGTGAGTGTGGCACACTCAACTTAAGTCGGGGGAGGAGGAGGAGGAGGAGGAGTCGGTCTAAACGCTGCTCTTGATTGATTTGTATCAACGTTGATTAGGCCAAAACCAACAATCATGGCCGAGACTTGAGGCCTGAGGTTTTGGCCTTGTTAGATCGATCGATCGAACTCGAATTGACATTGACAGTGACGGGCAAATTTTGTTTCCTTGGTTTTCCTCGAACGCAGACCAAACAAACCCGGTTAAGAGGAAAATAAGAGTAATGCGAATGCAAACGAGTATCTTTCTAATACGTTTATTTACCTTTTATAGCATCTGAAGTTTTGTCTCTTGTTACATTTTCTTACATTTTCTGTTGTGTGTTGTGTGTGTTTTTGATTGGGCCTAGCATATATAAGCATTAAGTTAAGTTAGGTTAGGTGTTTAAGTATTAGTAGACAGTCAAACCTCTTAAACGAGCAATGGTTGTCAGTTCGAAGCTCGCTTGAGAGGTTTGAATGGTTCGTTCGCACTACAAACTAAGGAGCTTTTCTTTCCGAGTTCCAAGTTCCAAGTTCCGAGTCTTAAGCAGTATAGTATAGTTAAGTCTTATAGAGGGGGGCGCCTAAATGCGCATAGGTGTAGGTATAAATATTAAGCTACGGTTCGTTCCTAGGGGATCCCTTCACAGAGGAGTCCAGCTCTATGGCGGAAAGTCCGGGGAAGGGCGTCTGCGTCTCCATTTCCATTCTCCATCTCTCGATCGTACATCTACTAACTAGATTATGAGCGGTGCTAAGTTTTGAGCTAAGTAGAATTTCATGCTAGTTTCTGCTTTTCTCCTCCTCCATCATCTGTTCTCTCCAACTGGCTTGTTAAAAGGCCATTCACTGGCGTTGAGTTGACGTTCTTACCGCTTGTGTAACGCTCGCTTCTGCATATTGTCCCAGACAGCGATGACCGTCAGCTGGAGCAGCAGGAACAGAGCCCCGGCAATTATGAAGCCTGCGATAGAGTTGTAAAAAGAGTTGAGGTTGAAAATTTACGAGCTTATTTAATTAGCTGGGCACTCAGTCGGCAAGTCGGCAAGTTGGCAAGTCGAAAGGCTTCTTTTTTTCATCTAGAGGCTAGATGGCGCGACGGCACGCGATTAACGCAAATCAATTCGCCACGCTCGGCGATACCAAATAGATGGAGCCCCGACTTGGATCGACTTGCCACCGTGCTACACATTGGTGTGGATTCAAGACCCCAGAGCCGAGACCCCAGATGATCCCCCCCTACTCACCATAGCCATTTATGCAAGTGTCCGATTTGGTGCCCAGGTCCAGTTGCAATTTGGCCAGGCCATCCAGACCATCGGAGTTCGAACCTCCTGGTGAATCGGCGCCATTGAAGGCGAACTTATCGGTGATTTGTATCGATTGCACCAGCAGAATGTTCTCATCGCCGGCCGCCTGATGACTCACATCACGTTTTTGGCGTTCCGACTTAATGGCCAGCTCAACTGTGAAAAGGTAGCAGCCATCCACCAGCAGCAGCAGCAGCAGCAGCGCATCCATCCATCGAGCAGAAAATCACAAAAAAGCACAAAAAAATTGCAGCAGAGAAGGAGAAAGAAGAGGCAAACAAGAAATGAAATATGTTTTCTGGGAGCAATTCTGTTGTATTCTCTTCTGTTCTGTAGTGGCACTAAAACCAGGGATGGTGTTTCTTGAGGAAGGTGCATAAATCCCATATAACACGGCATTTCGATTATAATTCCAATTCCACTGACCGAATGATAAAGATTTTTGTGTCAGACATGTTATGGCTCATGGGGTTTTTAAGACCATTCGAAATAACCATAACTTTTTAACGGCAATGAACAGATTGATTTCTGCAATTTAACTGGAAACTAATTTACTTTCTACAGTTTTAGCTATTATAAAAGTCAGAAACAATTTCTACTTTCAGTAAAACATCTAAAAGAAAAACCTATGAAATGTTAACTAATTTTCTGAAGAAATTAGATGGAATCATAAAAAAGCTATAAATATTCTAAATTTCGATTAAAATGTAATCGTTGTCTTTTTAAAGATTATTGAAATGGGTTTCTCTTTGGGATTATTTCGATCCTATCTATGATCACCTAAGCATCTTGTGAAAAAATTATAAATTTCTAAGGTTTAAAAAAATTAGATAATCTTGGTAGGATTATTACACTCCACTGACTATCTTGAGAATAATTATGCAACCTCCTCCTTCTGAAGATTTCCCTGAGTAAGTGACACCACTTCAAAGGTCACTGGTTGGTGGTTCTGTTACCCATCAGTATCCATCCCTGGTTCCAAAGCTGGCCAAGAAGAACCGTTTACTTACCGCCATCAGTGCCGTTGAGCACCGAACGCTTGCGACGACCGTAGGACAGCAGCGACTTGAGCTCGCCGTTCTCATCGTTGTCGCAAATAACCGGTTCGCAGCGCGGTATGCAGGGCGTGACCAGGGCGCGGAACTGCACCAGCTCCGAGGAGGGGAACTTGAAGGCGTCGAACTGTGAGAGCAGCACCTTGCGATTGCTGGCCAGCTTTTGCATGGCACTCATTATGTACTGGTCCGTGGGACAGCCGTTGGCGTCGATCAGTGTGATTTCGGCGCTGTCCGTCCCGTCCATGGCCACCAGTTCCCTCACAAAGATCTCGTACGGGCTGTTGGCGTCGACGATCTCGAATCGCAGTGCCAGCGGATCGCCAACCTCGGCGATCCTCTTCATGTCGCTGCCATCACGTGCGGTTATCTTCATGATGACGTTCGGCGAATCGACGATGATTTCCTCGCTCAGCGTCGACTCGATCTCCCCGGTTACGCCCAGGTCCACATTGTTGACCACCGTCTTGTTGGTCAGGTCGTATTGGCAGGATACGGCCAGTCCAAGATCGGAGGAGGTGACAATCATGTCGTGGTGCTGGATCACAATGTCGTTCATATACCTCCCATAGGCGCTCTGTCGCACATTGCACTCCAGGTCGTTGTAGCGCATCTTCAGGTCGAACTCCAGTGAGTTGTTCACATTCACGGCACAGGATTTCGGGGCTCCCTTGGCGTAGACCTTGCCGTCGAACAGCTTGGAGGTGCGGATCTTGGTGACCATCTCGCCGGAGCGACAGTCGATGGAGACATTGTAGCAGGCGGACTGCTCGTAGGTGGCCGCCTCCTCGATGGAGAGGTACGGTTCCGAGAGATCCGTCAGCGTGGCCCTGCTGTGGTGGGACAGGCGGCACACCAGCTCCCCGGTCTCGTTGTAGTCGTACGAATGACACCGGAACGGGGCCGTGAGGCAGAGGTCGCGGCACTCGTCCAGCGTCTGAACGTTCTGGTGCACCGAGTCCACCGTCTTGAGAATGCGACCCGCTACGCGCTTGAACTCGCACAGCTTGCTCGGCTCCTCGGCGCAGTTGTTCTCCAGATAGTCGGCGCCATCGTAGGCCGCGATATTCGCCTCGTCCGACAGCGTAATGCGATCCATGTCCGAGAGCTCGCACAGGCCAGAGTGCGCATAGTAGTTGGCCGATCTTCAGGTGGATCGAAGAAGGTGCACGAGGAGAAAAGTAGTTGGGAAAATATGGAGTTAACATTGTATGAATGAGGAATTAATCTAATTTGTATTAGTTATTTTTTAAAATCACTTAAGCCATTTTTAATACAAATAAACTCATACAGGTTGGGTTAGATCTTAAATCAGTATTTTCTGTGGGGATAAATTTTTATTTTATTTTTCTTTCTTATTTTTTTTCTACTTTTTTATTTTATTTTTGTAATTTGTTTCTTTTTTCTTTTTTTTGGTCTTAAATCAGTATTTTCTGTAGGAATACTTTTTATTTTTTTCCTTTCTTATTTTTATCTTCTACTTTTTTATTTTGTTTTTGTAATTTGTTTTTTTTTTTTTTTTTTGTTTGTTTCTGTTAAAAATCTAATTTAAATCCCATGAATTTAAATATTTTGCATAGTGTATCTTGGAGTGCTCTTAGTGTGGAGTGCCTTTTGGGGAGGAGTGAAGAGGTGTGTGGTGTGTGTGTACCCAAAGGAGGCGGGGTGGGTGTTTCTGTTTCGGTTTCAGTTCAAGAGGGTGGCTCTGCTGTTGCATCAGGTAACGGTACCCCGGCCACAGTACTTACCGGCAGGTGAACTCCGTCTCGCCCAGGCACAGCTCGATGCAGTCGCGCCGCGTGGCCACACTCTGGCTGGCCTTGGCCCGCTCGGGGAGTCGGTAGCCCTGGACGCGATCGATGCACCAGGCCTTCGAGCAGGGACGCACTCCGAAGCAGGATTTCTGCGCGTAAACGGTGAACACGGGATACTGGGAGCGGGAAAGTGAACCTGGAAACAAGAGGGGAGGCCAGATGGGGGCGGCATTCGTTGTGATTAGCGGGAAACATTTAACATACAAGCTGCGAGCCAAAGATCGTGATTGGGCTATCGAGTGCTGAGCTGGGTGCTCTTTAGCAAAGAACTACACGGGAAAAACTAACTGATCACTAATATTTCAAAGTTATTTTAGGTGTTACATGACATTGGAAGTTCCATTTTTTTTAGAAACCCATTAACTGAACTATTTAACCCAATAAAAACTGTTATATAGCCTAACTTTCTCTTCGATTTTTGGAAATGATTGTAGTCGTAAACAGAAACAGTATCAATCAGTATTAGCTTCGACTATAAACTTTTTAGATCTGCGTTAGATACTTCGCTTTGTATTTAAGATGTTTGCTTTTCTGCTGTCATTAGGATTTAGTGGTTTCTTTAAGAGTCTTTGTCTTTTGTCTAGGGAATTGCAATCGCACTCCTTTCTTTCTAGGCATTTCTTTCATTTTCTCCCGGCGCAGACCTCAACTCACCTGGCAACTGATCGGCGGTGCTGCGGAACATGACACACAGGCCCGTCTCGTAATTAACCGCGCTGCAAGATTCATTGGCCTGGCAGGCCTCCAGGCAGTCGGTCAGCATGAGGGTGCCGGGCAGCGTTTCCAATTGCTTCGATGGCGCCGATAGCACGTACCTGCGATGGAGGATTAACCGGAAAGTAACGCACATAAATTCTGGGGTTCTCTTGCGAGTTTCTCAAGTGGGTGGCTTTGGTTTTGGCGGCATTATAAATGGGGGAAACCACCTTTACGATGTGTTAACAGGCCATTGGTGGGTATAATTTATACTAGGAATAGTACTCCATGGCACTGCGACACTTACCCTGTTATGAGCTCGAAGCCAATCATATCCGGTTCGCAGTCCTCGTCCACCGAGGAAGATGCAGAGCCAGCTGAAGGTGTTGCCATGGGAGTGAGGCCAAGATCATCGGCCTTGGTCTCAGCGGCAGAAGCAGCAACAGGTGATACAGCTGGTGATGCAGCAGGTGACTGAGGGGCAGAATCAACTGAGGAATCTGCAGAACCAGGTGGCGATGCGACAATCGCTTCCGCTGGCTCAACGCTCAACGGTTTTGGTAGCTCGCTTCCGTTTGGCGATGCCACCGATCCCGGAATCGGTGTGGCATTGTTGCGCGGAAATGTCTTCAACGGTTTCACCGCCGTCGGTCGCTTGGGCAACTTGCGTGCCGCCGCCAAAGAGCTGGTGTCCACCAAAAGCAGCATTAGGCCCAGCAGCGCCATCATGCTGACTCCCCGGTTGTTTGTCATTGACCGCAGATGCATTTCAGTTAGCTGTATTCCAGAATCTGGAAGAGGTGGAAAAATGGCAAAAAGAAGGTTTTGGTAGCTTGGTTTTTAATTAGCATTTCAGTGTGTCTTCCCACTCCCATGCTTATCTCGTGATTAATTGCGCCGGCAGTTACAGTTAAGCTTTAATAATGGTTTTAATGCGGGCCATCCAGCTGTGCAGTAGTTGCAATTGCATCTATGCACTGGCAACGCCCACCGGCACGAAGAAGAAGGCCCTGATTAATTGCCCGGGAATAGATGCAAAATCAATTTGGTTGATGGCTAAGAAAGAGGCTCTTACCCCTTGAAAAACGAAAAACGGCAGCACTTCAGATCTAAACGCTGCTCACACGCACGTTTCAGAAGGAATTAAAATAATGCCACTTAGCCATTGGCGCACGCACAGGAAGCCAGAAGCCAAAAGCACCTGGACTTTGGGCCAAGCCACACTAGCTGTTAACTGAAATGGTCAGCTGGAATTCTGATTGGGCCGAGAGGTCCAATGTTCGATCACAATGCGATCGATACGGAGGAGAACACAACAGTTGGATGCTTTATGCTGGATCGTTAGTGGCTTTTGCGGTTCTTTTTCTTTTCCCCAGCTTTTGACCAAGAACAAGAACAAGAACCACCAGCTGCATGGAAAATGCATTACGTGTAATATGCGTTAAATCACAGAGAACCTCAGCTTTTCTTTTCTATCCACATGCTCTCGACTCTCCACTCTCGACTTGATTTCCGCACTAATCGAATTCAACTGGAGTGGAGTTGTGGAGTTTGGAGTTCGAGGCTGAACTTCGTGAGTGCCTCATAATCAACGATTATGCAATTGTCTGGCTGCAAATCAATTTCCATGGCTGCTGGTCAATGACACGGACTGCCCAGCAGAGCGAGTCGCGTGCCCCTCGGAGGGAATCCAATTGCGGGAAATAAATAAGAGGAGAAAACATTCTAATTACCCCGTATAGAAAACCAGCTGTGTACAGTGGCCCACTCAAATCACAATTTAATGCTGTGGGTCAGCTGCCTTAGTGGGCCAATAAACTAATCCGCAGATCCCACAGACATGGCCATAAATTTCCATTTGGCAGCCGAGCTGCTCCTGCTGCGGACTCCAATCGAAGATGGAGATTTATATTTATGCATGAGCATTTATCAGCCGGCCTAGCAACTAGTTTTGGCGTTTAGCACACATATTTGCAGCCAAATTTGACAGTTTGTTTTGGTCAGGCAAAAAGCCTACACAGAAAAAAAAAAATTCGATATGAAATAAGGTCAATTCTACCCTGAATAATGTCAAATTTATGATTCAAAAATATCAACTTGATATTTTATCAGTTCATAATTATAAGAATATAATATGAAATTAACCTACACATTTTAATCGAATCTCTTGTAAATTTTTTTCCTGTGTATGAAGTGTTATTTTGAGTGAGTCTTCTGCGGATCTGGTTCGAAATGGTAAATGGGAAATTCGGGCTAATCCCACCGCTTTTTCCTCCGCTGTCAAGGTGTCGATAAAGCACTTTTATGACACCAATACGCCAAAAACTAGTTGCCACTTAATTAGAATGGCGAGTGATTGGTTCGGTAGTTGTTGTTGTGTTGGCTCTGGCTGGAAAAGTGTGCCAGGGAATGACATAACTGCCATCCAGGCTTATCTCAATTGAAGCGCTGCTCGGTGTAACTGTAAGCAATGTGTGCAAGTTGCTGCAAATGGAAGATGGAGCCACAAGTTGGCCAGGAAAGCCACTTGGCAACTACTTCTTGGCCCGACTATCTTCATTTCATGGCTGGCAATTTGAAAACTGCACCCGCTGGCCATCGGCAGAAGGAGTTTGTGGTGCTTGTGCTTGTGCTGGTGGATGTGGGTCACCTCGAGTTATTTCTATAGAAATTCTTTTTTGTGGCCGGCAGAAATTTCTCAAAGTTAGCGACAAATCTTCAATTAATGGCCAGTGAAATTTCTCAACTATCAAAAGAGCCCCAAAACTAGTTTCCCTTGGTTTCCATTGCGGTGTATCAAAAAACGGAAAGAAAACTGAGGAAATCTTGACAAAACTTTTCATTTCATGGCCCGAAACTAACGGCAAATCAACCGCACCATTTGAAAACCCTAATCTATGCAACCGAATCCATAAACATGATCTTCGAGCTCACGAAGAAGTAGCTCCAATACTGCAGCGGAATATTAATGAGTTTGGGTCACCATTTAGCCGGGATTATTTCGTAACAGGGCAATGAATTCCAGAGCACGTCGAGCGGAGATTTGTCATTCGGATTCTCGAATTCTTGGCTTGGAGTCAGCGAAAGTCTTACACTCTTTTGACTTGACATTCAGGTCTTGACTGGTCGCAGCCCCAGCTAATTGCCATTAAATGGTCGCATCGAACCGTTGACTGACCCAAATCACTGGTCACTGGTCGCAGCCAGCAGCCAGCAGGATTCCCAATGGATGGCGGATCGACAGGAGACTTGACCAGGCCGAAAGTTAATTGCCTGCAGAATTCTGCACATTTGGGAGTTGACGGGTTCTGTGCGCCGTGTTTCCGGCATGGCAAAAATGCTGCAGTCGCAACTCGGACTTATCGCGAAACTGGAAACTTGGAAACTAATGTGACATCTCCTCGATGTGCTTCTTCTGCTGACAACATTCACCCAGGCTGCTTTCTCTAATGATCCATTGACCATTTTCGTTTAATTGATCGACATGTGGACATCCTGTTCGCCTGACAATTGACACCTTGTCAGGCATTGAATGTCAATGGGTTTGGAAGAACGCGTCTTTACCTTGGTCACTCGATGGATTTTTATCACTGTTTTTCAGGAACAGGACACGCACAACACACTCGATTGATTTGTTTGCTCAAAAACAAATTTATTGTTTGATTTGATTTGATTTGATGAACCGAAAACCACGCGAACCGCTCGAGCGACGTCCTCACTGTCGAAAGTGGAGCGCCCAACTGAATCTCGTGCGATTTGGCTAAACGTTCTTATGCGAAACTCTGCGAGGAATTCCAACTCCAGCCTCCAGATGCTGGGCAAGATCGGTTGGGTTCGAGTTCGTTAGCTTCTTCTATCACTGGAGCGCTAGCGACCGCCAGTTCGAGCACCTTGACACTGAATGCTCGCTGCGAAGGCCGCGGAAAACGTTTTCAAGCTGGGAAGCCGACCGTCGAAGGCCCCAAACGACGTCGGCAGAGGCCGAGGCAGCGAGGCAGCGGCCACTAACTCTCTTTTGGCCAAGAAGAAAAACCGGTAGATGGGCGGAAAGCTAATGGCTTAAGCAACTGCTCTTCGCCAGAAGAGAGCTCTTCCGCAGAAGAGAGCTGGCAACTTTGCTGCTGGCAACTTTCTTCAATTTGCGGCTACAGCTTTTCTCGCCAAGGGTCCACAGCTGTAGCTCTTGGGTTTCTTGGTCTTCTCAGTTTTCTCGTTCTTGTCGGAAGTAATAAAATGCAATTATAACAGTCGAGGCAAATGATTTTCTAATGCGATTGCCTGACACGCAGCAACGGCATTGAATTGCACTGAATAATGCCAAATTGAAGTGCCACAGCGGGCCATAAAAGAGCGGCAGGTGCACGGATCACTCACAGATTTTCAAAGTAGGGGGGTTTGGGCCCCCGAGAAAAAGAACCTTGCAGCTAAGCTTTCTAATGACCAAAGTTGTAAGTACCCGAGGAACTACACGAGCATTACCTCAACGCACGCCTAATTAAGTGCGCGATAACAATCGAAGGCAGAGTTAAATTAAGTTAAGAAACAAAAAACAAAACTAAATAACTAAAAAACAGGGAGTGCGGAATGAGGTCACTGATTGTGGGGGCAGCTTTGATACAGCGTTTATGCAACTTCATACTATACTATATACCATAACACCATAATAATCTGTAATAGTTGCGCCACAAAGAAAGCGGAGGCTGTCTCGAATTTGTCCGTCACATAATGCAATTAAATATTGACGCGCAATCATCGAAAGCACAGCGAACTGCACTCGTCGCACTTTTCCCGCGTTTTCATCTCCATCCGATGCACTGCATCACTGCATCCGATTTCCACAATGGAGATTCCAGATTCCACTTTGATTTGGAGCATAATTGAGGTCTCTCCGCGTTCGATTAACGCCTCTGAGGGAATTATACAATTTTTCCAACAATGAAGCACCTCGCAAAGATCTGATAAAGAAATTATATAAATTGTGTCTCTCAGTCTATTTGATTCGGAAAAGCTTTGGGAGTTGGAATCGAAATAGGAAGTCTGCAATCGCCAATCGCCAACCGTCATCCGGATTCGGGCCTTGACTTTGGAGTTGGATTGTTAAATAGGAATTGGCGTGTGAATGAAGAGACTCCCAGTTCTCCAGATGGCCAGAGATTGATTGGGATGCCAGAAGTGTAGGTGAACTTGTGATTGAGTAATTGGAACTGGCGAAGCTTTGCTCTAATTGCTATCGCATTTGAGATCGTTGCCAAAATTGCCAAGTGTGCGATTCTCGGGAAGCCATTCTTCATTCTCCTCGATCTCAAGTCAGATATTTCCCGAATTCAGCTGGACAACGGTTACATTTACACTCGAAATTAAAGAGTTTGTTGCTCCCTCCTATCAAGGCCAGATTCAGATTCAGATTCACTGCGGCGGATGGCCAGAGAGAGATATATCAACACTCGACCGTTAGGAGGAAGTGGATTTATATGGGCCATCGACTGATTTTCGACCTGTGTTCTGTTTCTGTGTCGCTCTATATTCGATATTCAAATATTGGTTTGCATTCTAAGTCCCAGAAACTGTGCCAAGAAAGAAGAAAGAGTGCTGAAAGTGAGGGCTCGTCCAGAGTTTCTTGTCCGAGGTTCGTTTGCAGAGTAAACAATTGAGTGACATGCAAATTTCCTTTCGATTTTTCACACATTCTCTGATTGCCGCGTGGGCTGATCGAATGTTCGAATGTTTGAACGTCCCAATGTTCCACCTCCCTTTCAATTTCCATTTCCCCAGAAAGAGGAGGTCGATCAGGAGCAGGAGTTTATGTTTCCGGCAATCAATCGAAGACATTTGCAGAGCAGCTCGTTTATTTGTCTCGTGTCTCGATTGTTTGCAAATTGATTGGTCCCACCTCAGATTCGTTTTTACTTGGAAAGGGAAATGCAGTTCGAGTTGGCTCATTAGAAGCCGAGTCTCTCACTCTGAATTTCAGTGGTTTACTTTCACTGCGAATGGAGAGAATTTTTGGCGAAATGGAAAGGATTGCGATGGCACGCAAAGATACAGATGTGAGTCATTAATCTTCGCAGGGAGTTTCGCTGGTAATCAAGGAAGATGCCGAAGGAGTTAAGATCTGAAAGTATTCCTAATTGACGATAAGAATCGCTCGCATGATGAAAGTGTCCGTCAAAGGTGACCCCGATTCGAATCAAAAGGTGACCCCGCGAGGTGGAATGGTAACGATCTTTCCCTAATTGCACCGCCATCTGATTTGTTTTGTTTCACTTTTCAATGGTTCCCTTCGGCTCTCTAATTGCGGCTTTCTTTGCAGAGGAAGGAAAAAGCATTCTATCAGAATTTTCACTCTTAGTGAGTGAAGTGTCTCGTTTGGTCTGTGCCACTGACTGACTGCTAACTTGGTCTCGAATTCTTTTGTATATGTGGATGTGGTCTTGGTCGGCGGCATAAAACTGTCAACGAGCGTTTAACCCAGTTAACGCCCTTAGCCGACGACAACTTGGTTGCTGTCTTGTACTTGGACTCCACTGCCACTTCAACTGGAGCTACAATCCCAAGTTGGGATCCCAATCCATTCGACACGAGACCATGGCCACAAAAACGAGCAAGGTGTAAAAACAACAGAAGGTGACTTTGGGGGAGGAGGAAGTATATCCAAAGATAAGAGAAGCCACAGACCGACTGAAGGTGAAGTTGAGTGATGGCTCCACCTCGCCAAGAAGGGGCGGTGGGCGGTGCGGAGGTGTTGATTGTGGCCAGCGGATATTGGCGCTCCCAGAGGAGGAGGAAAGGGGTTCGGAGGTGGAAATGGAGATGGAGATCCGAGATTGAGCGATGTCTGGCTGTGGTTCTGGTTCCTCTAAAGCCATCTGAAGTGGAAGCTCACTCCTCAGAGGAATTCTGAGCGCGGTGAAAGTTGCCATCTCCATCTGCCCCATCCCAATCTCCCCCAGAATCCCCTGCATCCTCCAGCTCTTCATCAGAAGACACGACACAGAAGAGACTTGTTGAAATTCTGGTCCCAATAATGACACTTAAGCGATGCACTTTTTTCGTAATATGAATTTTCCTGTTTGCTGGTCGTTGCCTCCCACTCCTTCTCCTTCATTCCCCTCTTCCATCACCTCCATCAATTATGGAATGGAGAAAGGGGATCCAGAGGGGCAGGTGGTGACTGGAGTCCACCTGAGCTGCAACTCAATCACCGACCAAGTTTCAACTGCCATCGGCAGCTTCTGCTTCTAATTGCCGCACTTTTTGCTCCTGCTTAGCCTGGCCAGAGTTGGATTCGGATGACATGGGTATGGGTACGGGAATGGGTTAAGGGGAGGGAATCCAGTGGCATCTCTGACCAATTCGATTGCTGCTTCCAAATGAAGAGCCATTGGAAAGCATTTCTCCATCTTTGGTTCTTCCTAAGAGATAGATTCCTTCTATATGGAGCTAGGCAAATTGGCGGTTTCATATTCCCATCATTAAATCATTAATTCCCGCGATGATGAATCCGGACACGTTGAGAGGTGAGCAGTGTGATGCAATCTCCCTGCCATCTAAGCTTCCATTTTTAATTTACAATCCCAGAGCCCGCGATTAGCGACGACATTGCAGCAAGTTATGAAGATCGGGATGGAGATGGAGAAATGGGATGCGGAAGGGGATGGGACATGATGGCTATTCCCCCAATATTCCAATATTTGCTCTGGGCGTTGGCACACCAGATCGCCAAGTTGCCAAGTTGTGGCTTCCTCTGCTGGAATCCCAAATGCAGTTGTCTTTGGAGTGGATGGGTTCCAGACCACAGACCTCTCTGCAAATGAAGGGGTGTGCCTGGCATGGGCTGGGATGTGGAATCAGAAGCAGAATCAGATGAGGAAGTGGAGGAGGAGCACCTGGCTTCCAAGGAGGCAGCACGAGGCGTGCGACATGCAACACAAGCCAATCAAGGCGACTGTCAATGGAGGCAACACCTGTTTCTGCTTCAGCGACCTTGAGGAGGACTTGTTTTAGGAGTTGGTTCCTTCTAAAGATGCACCAGAGCTCCAGATGAGTTGATAAACTGCCTCAGCGAGATTCGCTTCTTGCGGGTGTGCGAACTAAACCGGTAAATTGCTGCAATTTCCATCAATTTCAACGGTGCGGCACTTGACAAAGTAAATAGACCGAGGATCCCCCCTCCTTATTTTATGATCTGAAAAGGATCCGGGGTCCAACAGATACGCCCCACTCCGCTCCCAATATTTTCCATTTATATTCTCATCAATTTGCACCAATTTTCACATGCCAGAAGGCAGAGGAGTGGACCTCGAAGTTCGGCTGCCATTTGCAGCTACACAAAAGGGGCATCGCCTGGAAATTTATGACCGCTTCGCCTGTTGCATGCACCATGCACCATCTAAGAGCCACCATCTAAACCATATAAACCACCCATCCAACCCACCAGAACTGGCATCCCGACCCGAAACTGTTACACTTGGCTAATTGATTTATGAGAGCGGGTTTCCAAAATATTTGCCGTACAAACAGGGGCTAAAATGCACTTATGTGGGTGGGATACCGAATAGAAACTGGGAGAAGAGCTCGGGAGAAGATGTCGCATGGAAGGAACAAGTTCCCGAGTGTTTCCCACAGCCACAGGAAGTGTTCGCTTCCAAAAACGCATGCCAAAAATGGATCCCCGAGGACAAGACAACCTTGGAGTGGGAACCCAAACGCAAACCCAAACTAAAACCCAAACCCGATCCCAAAGCGATCACGATTATGATGATCATTGCGGCGATTGGGGAATGGACCATCGAGTGGGCCAAGACAGGTTGGTGGGCATAGAATTGGGATGAGGATGCGGATGAGGATGGTGGCAATGTCCCCACTCAGGCAGTCAGAATTCGAGGAGTGGGATCGGGACTCTGGTC